GGTGATGGGGACAAAGACCCCTGGGCCTTACCTAGTCCCTTCAGGAACTTATTGACACCGCTGTGCTCTCCACTGGGGAGCGTTTCCAGATACTCTTGGGCTCGGACCTCAAATAGACCTGTTGACAAGAGAAATCCCAGCCATTTCAGTTCCTGGTTTTCGCACTGCTAAACACACCTATTTCCTAACCCTCACGGAAAAGAGACCTTGCTTCTGAGACGAAGCTGCTCCTATAAACATGCTCTGAATCATGAGGTTTATAAGAGTTTTTATTACCCTTATAATTGCCCAACCTTGTGCAATAACTGTCTTTGGAAAGCTATAAAGCTACCTCATACATTACATCCTATTTTTATTCAAAAAACACCTTCTCAGCTTCTACACTGTGCCAGACACACACTTTTAAAGATGAACCTGGCTGTTATAGCGGTGGCTCATGCCTGTAATCCTAGCACTCGGGGAGGCTGAGGTGGGAGGATTACTTGAGGCTAGAAGTTCAAGACCAGCCTGAGCAACACAGGAAGACCTCATCTCTTCAAAAAATAAAATAATTAGCTGGGTGTGGTGATGCTCAGGCAACAGAGCAAGACCCTGTGTCAAAAACAACAACAACAAAAAAAAAAACAGAAAAAAGGAACCAGTAGGTCCTGGACCTCAGGAGTGGTCATACTCTCACTTCCTTGCATCATCCCATAAGAGGACCTTGGACAAATGGCTTGATTTCCTGGGAGCTCACCTGTGAACTGAGGATGCTGGACAGGCCACCTCACAGACATCTTCACCTCTCACCCCTGGGGTCTGAGCTTTAGGCACTGTCCAGTTTCTGACTGATCTTCCATGTACAGAGGGTTCCTTGCAGGTTATTGTTATTGTTTTTAGAGACAGGGTCTCACTCTGTCACCCACGCTGGAGCACAGTGTGCAATCATAGCTCATTGCAGCCTTGAACTCCTGGGCTCAAGTGATCCTCTCGCCTCAGCCTCCAGAGTATCTGGGACTACTGGTATATGCCACCACGCCTGGCTAATCTTTCTTAGTTTTTGTAGAGATGGGGACTCAATATGTCGCTCAGGTTGGCCTAGAACTCCTGGCCTCAAGCAATCCTCCCGCCTCAGCCTCTCTGAGTGCCAGGATTATAGGCGTGAGCCAACGTGCCTGGCCTCCTACCCAGGTTTAACTCCCATCTGTAGCAGCCCTTGCCAACATTTCTAGATTCTGGATTCCCAAAAGGGCTTAAGATGATGTAAGAAAAAGACGAATGATTTCTCTCGTTTCTTACTCCTCTCCCTTTTCCATCCCTGTTAGTATGATGGAACCCAGGCAGGCAGGGACAGGGAGAAGGTAGACAAGAAAAGAATTCAGAGACAAGTGAAGAAGGGGTGAGAATGGGTGGTCTCCAGCGGTGAAATGAAGTGCAAGCTCCGTGGGTCCTGCTAGCCCCTCCACGCCAGGCCAGCTTGGGGCAGGTGCTCGCACAGGCGGAGGGCACTGCACTGTTCTCTCCTACTTTGTCCCAGCCCCAGCCCATCCCTGCCCACCCCTGCCCTCTCCTTCCACTCCCTGGGGAAAGGGGCCCGAGGAAAAGAAGCTGACAACAGAGGAGAGGGAGGGTGTTCTTGAGAGTTTCGTCACGTCGGAAAGAACAAAATAGAAGGAGCCCTTGCCACAGACACTGGACTGTGGTTCTGGGGCTGCCCAGTAGAAGGGACACAGAAGGCAGGGAGGGGCTGTGGCATGGCCGCAAACTCTCTGGGAGGCCGCGTAGTGTTCCCGTCTGTCCCTTTGCCCTGTGACTTTTCTCCCAGCTCCTCAGCGTCTGGAGTCTGGGCATCTCTAGCTGGCTCGGCCCAACGTGGAAGACGCTCCTAACCCTTGGCATCCTGTTGGCGCAGCTCCCGCTCCTGGATGAAGCCCCGAAACATCTGGGTCTCCATGAAGACCTCCAGGAAGCGGCGGAGGCTCTTGGAGGAGACAGCTTTGCGGAAGGCCTCTCGCTGCAGGGTCCTCTCCTCGCCTGACGTCAGGAACAAGGAGTAGTGGCCCACGATCTCCACGAAGAAGCGGACAAAGGCTTCGGACACCACCTCGTTCAAGGGGCTGGACTCGGGGCCTGAGCAAGGGGGAGAAAG